GAAAAAAAAAAAAAAAAAAAAAAAAAAAAAGAACATTAAAAAGATGTAATTAAATGGAGAAAATAGTTATGATAAAAAAATATACATTAAAACAAAAACACGAAAAGTTTAAAAAAAAAAAAAAAACTTTACAAATGAAATAATATTAAAATATTTACTTATGAAAAATATATGTAAAATAAATATATAGAGTTTTTACATATTAGTCTATGTGTAACAAAATTTAAATTTAATAACTTCAATGAATTAATTATAAAATTAAAAAAATTTAAAGAATATAATACAATACAATTTTTATGTGTTTCCTAATTTTTATATATTTATTTTTATTAATTTGTTAGGAAAAAAAAAGAAAAAAAAAAAAAAAAAAAAAATGAACAACATAATTTAATAATTATTCATTTTAATGTTTTAAAGAAAAATTTTTGAATTAGATAAAGTTTTTTACTCAAATGATTTCGTTAAATTGAAATCGTAATATGTATTTGTTTCTATGAATGCATTATTTTCTTTTATAATAACATTTTCATTTTTACTATTATCATTATTACTTATATGGTTTACTATGTCTTCTTTTATTTTTTCATTTGAGTTCCATGTATTCCTCTTGTTTAATTTTATGTTAAAATATTCATAATGTATACTTTTTAAAAAACTCTGATTAAAAATAAAATTACTACGATTTATTAAGTTATTATGATTGCTATTTTTAAGTTTATTTTTAGAATTATTTTTTGATACAACTGAACATTTTATCTTTCCATCATTTTTTCTTACTTGAATTTCTATTTTTTCTTTACTTTTCTTTAGCATAATTATTTGTCTAAGTATTCTATTGGTTACTTTAAATTTTTTCAAGTAATTAAAAAAGTTCTTTTCATCAAATAGGTAATCGATAAAGGAAGATTTTGTAATGGATTTAAGAAATGTCAAAGCTTCATCATATGTCATATTAAGAATCTTTTTTTGATGGTGATGTAAAATAATTAAACTTAACTTAATTAAAATTTTTAATCCAAACAAAAAAAATATATCCCATAATTTAAGAGTATTTTCAAGACTTAAATCTAATGAAAATAATGTCATAAACCAATTGATACAAAAAAAATCAATTTTTATTTTTTTTCTTCTAAAAAAATAAAATAATTTTGGCATATATGCTTTTATTAATATATTTAGTTGATAAATAACTTTTTTTAACTCTGGAAAATTATATATAAACATTCCTTTTAAATTAAAGTTAACTAATAAAGAAATAAAACATCTAACAGTATCTAATTTATTTTTAAAAACTAATAAAAATATAGCTGCAATATAATTCATACCTTGACAGTATCCAACACTTTTAAAATATAATGAACATACTTTTAAAATATCTAATAACTTTTTTTGCATATTTTCTTTTTTATTTAAAAAGTAAGGATTATGAGGAAAAGTTCTATAAATATCTTTTTCAATTATCTTATCAAAATCGCTATTTCTTTTCTTTAAACTTCTATATAAGTTTTCACTCATAAATGTATTATCCGCTAGTAATATTGCCTTCCATATAAAACTTCTTTTATCATTACTAATAAATTTATTTTTATATAAATCTTTTAAATTATAAATCGAATAAACCTCAAAAAATAGTAATTTACATGTGAAGGAACAAATATATCTTTCTTTTTCATTTAAAAATGATATTATTTTTGTTCCTAAAAAAATATAAACACTAGAACTAACAACAGCATTTTTTAGTAAACCTCTTAGATATCCATTATCACAGTAAGCTAAGTATCCTTCATCTTCTTTATCAGTTTTTCTTTCTATTTTATCATCTTTTATTTTCATATTATCTTCCAAATTTCCATCTTCTATTTGTTCATTTACTTCTAATATATTTTTTAATTCACTATCTTCTATTTTTTCATTACTTTTTAATTCATATTGTAAATTACTTAATCTAGTTTTGTTACTAGAATCAATACCATTTTTGTTATCAACATTTTTACATTTATCATTTATTTCATTCTTTTTTTCTGATGTTGATATATTGTTTTCATTATTATTTATAGAGTTCTTTTTCTCATAATTACTCATTTCTTTTGAATTTTAATTGGTTTATTAAATAAAGAAAATTTTTTTTTTATAATTTAATTTTAATTCATCTATAACTTTTTCTTTTTAATTATGTAAACTAAGCTTCATAATTTTTTTTGAAGTCATTTTTAAAAATTATATATTCATTTTTTATAAACAAAAAGTGTACAATTCACATTTAACATTTACGCGCTATATTATTAATAAAGATAACATATATTAGCATATATGAATAAATATAAAATGACATGAGATGTATAAATAAAATATAATAAAAAAAAAAAGAAACAAGAAAAAAGAAAGCTGTTAAATTAAAAATATAATTACAACTTTCAACATAATTTGAATAATATATTTTATATTACTCATATTATTCATTTATTACTTAAAATACTTTATTTTTAATTTTTATCATATCTTATAATTTACTTAACTATTTTTATTGAATTCAAATTTAAAAAAATAACAGAAACACATATATATAAATCTTTTAAAATTTTTTGTTTTTAGTGAATCTCTATGTATTATATTAAAAAAAAAAAAAAAAAAAAAAAAAAAAAAAAAAAATAAAAAAGTTATTTCATAATTAATTATTAAAAAAATGAAAAAAAATATAATTCTTAAGGTAACAAACTTATGTATACATAGAAAATAATAATAGCTTCCATTTAAAATAATACATTTCATTAATATTTTAAAAATATTATAAATATCTTTTTATTTTGAATAAATATTTATTCTTCTTAAGTTTTTTAAGTTGTCTAAATTACTATTTTAAAACAAAAATTTCATATTTTTTATTTTTTAAAATGTTAAATATATTTTTTTTTTTTTAAAAAAAAGAAAAAGCAAATTAAATCTGTTTAAATTTTTAAGAGATATGAA